CCATGACAAAATACATCATCCAAAAGAATTAATTTTGAATAATACTAGACAAATAAAATTTTTATACACACAATGATGAGACCATTTTTGATCAACATCTACCGTTATAGTTTAAAATTTATAAATATTACTATTACATCATTTTGAATTAGTTTTTCTTTTAATTTTTTTTTATATATAAATATTATGTTTGTATATCAATTTCATTCATTTTTGTGTATGGTAATCAAAGCAATAAAACAACTTTCAAGAATTTGTATTCATTCTTTTCCAAATCCAACCAATTAAAAAAAAAGGAATTCTGCTCCTCCCATCTTATTTTTTTCTCCTTTCTATTTCATTTAAGAAAAACAATTTCTCAACAAATCCATCTTACCAAATAAGTCAAAAACAAAAACTTTTTTAAAAAAATATTATTTTTCTCTTTATTTTCTTTATGGTTGGGTTGTTTGTTAGCCTCAGAATATGAAATGCACATTTTTTGGATCACAAAAACAGATTTATTTGGAGGTTAAAATTGAAACAACTCAAGGATCTTGGTTTACAAAATAAATATGAATTTTTTGGTGTTCCCAATTAATTGATTGATGACTAATATCTTTTTTCTTTCCGTAAATTTTCATTTTAAGCAATTTATTTCCCTCCTATTAATTATAAAGGGTAATGCTAAGGATGTAAAATTTTCTACCTATGGGGTCTGTAATTTTGTAAACCCCGCACTTTTATGCAAGAAATTTGATCATTTATTTAGTAAAAAAATTTAGACTTATAACATTTTTCAATTGTAAAAGCGATTCCATCTTATGTAACAACTGATTTTCAAATTTTGGACACAAAAGCCTAGTTAATGCGAGAAGTTTCTATGAGAAGAAAGATACCATTAAATTGTTGGGTTCGACTTTTTTCAAGTCTGTCGTATCAACTTGTAAAAACATTTGCACTGAGCCAAGTTTGGTAACTTATAAAAACGTCAAAAAGTCAAAAAATTATTCAAAAATTTAAAAAATTATCACTATTCACCTAAAGTCAAAAATTACGACTGCATAACTCTCAATCTTAATTTTTTTATACACACTAATTTATTCAATTTTTTAATACACATTTTTCCATAAAAAGTCAAAAAATTAACCCAAACATCCATATTTTTTTTCTCAATTTTTTAGTTCAAAAAGACAAAAAGTACACTTATTTAGGACACCCCAAACAACCCCTTAGCAAGTTAATTTTGAAACTAATTTTGGTGATTCGAATTATACATTTTTTACATTCGTTGAGTAAAATATTCATATAAAAAATTAAGATGATTGGATATCGGTAGCTATATGTTTAAATTGTATTTATTTTTAAAAAATGGACGAGAAATATAATTTTAAGAATAACTATACATTTTTTGTAATACAAATTTAATTCAAATATATGCCTACTGATGTCCAATTATTATTTTTTATATGAACATTCTACTCAACAAGTCTTAAAACATAAACGGTTCAAATAATTAAAATGCAACATGTGGTGGACTCTACAAGCCCTTCAAATTCTGTCATGTTGAGATGTGAAAATCAGAAAAGCTTAAATTAGACACTAGTTCATCTAAAAGATACCCATGACCTCCCGTTAGGACTAGTTGTGGTGGCTATTTAGGTTAGACCTAGTTCGTTTAAAAGATAGATAATCTGACTATGATATCATGTTAACTTATTGACTATGAGCTTATTTTAAAATCTAAGTTGTTAGAGAAACACCTAATTTTATTATTTTTATCCTCAACAAATACCTTCAATCCCTATAATGTTTGAAATGCTTCTTGTGGTGTTTGAGATAACTTATTTATAAATAATTAGATTCAAATTGAAGAAAAATAAACAGTTGTGTGGACTACTTTAGTATCAGAGTACATACCAAGATATTGTCGTTTTGTACTACGGAGATACACATAATTTTGTTCTTCCTTCACTAGATTAAGTTTTTTAAAATTTATGAGTAGGACACATTTTATAAGGTAAATCAAGAGTCCCACCAAACTCCTGTGGGACATATTCCCACTCCCCACAACATTCATTTTTGGCATCATGCAACATCATGCTTAAATCAAACCAAAAGCAAACATTCCATAGATGTAGGTTTTGTAATTAGTATGGACTGAGATGCTTGTCTCTCAAACTTTTCTGTCTGTTATATTTGAATAAAAGCTCACACTAAACGATTTGTTGACCTCCATTGGTTTTAAAAATCAAACTTTCTATGGCTTTTCTGACTGTGGCTCTAGCAATCCAATCCATTGTTTGATATTTACTCAAAACTCAAACTCATCTCAATAGTGCCTCTAGTTTCCTATGCTTTTTCATGATTTACAAATAGATGTAATAAATGTACAGCTCTAGCTCTAGCCACGTGATCTAATCTTATGAAGAATGAGCAGTGTTATATAAATAAATTGTTTATATATAAATTTTATTTAGAATGATATTACTTCCTATTACTTTTGAAAAAAATGTTCATTAATGCGACTTGTATATTTTTGAGAAAGTCATTGCTGCATAATTTTAGTATAAAATTTTCGTGATTATTTTTCATGAAAAATAACAAGAATTTTAAAAGAATGTGGTTCATGGTTGGTCAAAATTGTGAATGTGAAAAAGTAATTGAAGATGTTAGCTTTTTTACTCTTGATGAGAGCTAAACAGGTAGAGACAATCATTCTCGAAGTCAAACTTTTGTTCCTCATTGGAATAAATGGCCTTTGTTTCTTGAAGAAATAAAGTTGAATACTTTGTTTGAATTATGAATTTGTGTAAGAATTTTTTTTTTCTTTTTCAAATTTCTATTTAAATTCATAATTCACACATAACCTAAGTTTATTAGGATATCAGTTTGAATCTACACTTGGGATAAATTGTATATTATGCACCTACCTTTCTCTCCTTTATTGATTTTTTTACATTTGATTGCATTAATAAAGTTTTTTTCCCTGATAAAAAAAAAAAAATAGTGAGACAGTTTTAACCCAAAAAAAAAAAAATGAAAAAAATATTGAATTACACATTATAATGTTTTTAATTATTTTACACTTCATGTTCAAGCTGAGGTACCTTTATCTTCTTTTTCTTCTTCTTCTTCTTCTTCCTCTTCTCTTTTTAAAATTTTTTTTTTTAAATTCTTATTTTAAGGTAGAAAAGATAAACGAGAAGGCTCAAAACAAGGTTCTCAACGGGCACAAGAAAACCTAAAAGAAAGCAAACATAAAGGTAAACTCGGTTAAATTATGACGGTAACTTCTATATTTTGATTATTATATCATTTTAATTTTTATAATTTTAGTTGATTCGATTTTGATTATGAATTTATAAATTTGTATCAATTTGGTTTAATTATTGATTATAAGTTTTTTCTTTTATGAAAAATATGTGCATAAGTGACATGTGTCATATTTTTAAGAGTAAAATAATAAACATACTCAATTAAGTAAGTTAATTTCAAGTAATTCAGTAATCATTTTTCATAAAAATATTAACAATATTATTAGTGAGACGAAATTGACACAAAATTTAAAATTAAGAGTTAAAATTAAATTAATTAAAAATGTAAAAATCAAAATGATATAAGGAATAAAATGTATGAACCACCAATAAGGTCAAGCTATCGGAGGATCAAGTTTATGCTTAGCTATGTTTGAGGCTACAAAAATTTGAATATATAAACTAAATCATGAGATGAGAGTGACATCTTCATTCTTTAATCTTTCATGATCAAACACGTATTTTATCAATCTCAAAGGGACCCATTAGCTCATAAACATGGTTTTACACCGATTGAATCTGATATTGATATTTATTAATATATTAAAAAAAAAAATCCAATATATATATTTTTTTATCAGTAAAAATCATTTGTTAATTATTAGATTAATACTTATGAGAGTTAGTCTTTTCATCCTTACAAAGTACCAAGTGTTTGTCTCATAATTTAACTATCTAATATATAACAGTCAATTTAATACACATTTTAATAACATTGTTATTTAAAACCGTTGTCATGAGTAAAAAAAACTGTAATTCTAAAAAGATCCAAGATTTGGGCATGGCTTTATGTGAAACAATAATGATTTAGAACTCTAAATAATAAGCTCTAAATCCATAACTAGTGTGGTGAAAAAAAAAAACAGCTGACATTGTGGCAGTGTATCATTAGTGGTAGTACTAATTAATAGTCTTAAGCATTATTGTTGTATGAAAATGTCATTCACTTGTTTGATATCCTCCACAAATTGCATGATGTTTATTTTCATAAATAATTTATGAGTAGAGGGGGAGAAATGAATTCTTCCCATTATTGTACTATCAGTATCTGGAAGAGTGATATTGTTCTTGCTTCACGTACAGAGTCACCTAAAACCTGATTTTGTCGGGGTCACATGTCATGCAAAGGCGAAAGCAACGACATCCATCTTATTATTGTAAGTTTTTCTTAATAGATATAATATAAGAGAGATGTCTTTATCTGAGAAGCAGAAGATCCCATAAAATAAAAGTAAAAATAAAAATAAAAATATAAAACTATAATCGTAGTCATTATATTTTTATCATTGTATCATTTTGATCTTTATAATTTTAATTGGTTCAATTTTGATTTTAAGTTTATGATTTTGTCTTAATTTGGTATATTTAGTTACAAGTGTTATTGTTTCTAATGAAAAATGATCATATAAATGGCATGCATTATGTTTTTATAGGTAAAATTATAAATTTATTAATTCAATGAGTTAATCTCAACCAACATAGTGATTATTTTTTCTCAAAAATCCGAATCAGTGTTATCGATTGAGCTAAATTGATTCAAAATATAAAATCAAAACCAAGTTAATTGAAATTATAAAAACAAAAATGACACAGGACCTACCAATAAAAGTTACCAAATTAAAAAAAAAAAAAAAAAAAGTAGAAGAAAAACATTGGCAATTTCTATGTTAATAAAACAGAGAAAATTGCAGATAAAAAACGGTATTGAAAAATCATTGTACTACTTATAACAATATATATATATATATATAGTACATGATGATGACCCAACAACAGCCTTTTACACTATAACCCCTACCCCTATGTTTTTTTATATAACTAACCAGTGTTAAAAACTTAAAAATACACTGCATGATCATATTTTTGTTCTAACCCCACTCATCTAAAAACTACTCAGGTGAACAATCAGGCATTAAAGCTGCCCATTTTTTTTTTTTGTCAAAATTATTTTTTTGAAGTTTTTTCTTTGATCAGATTGGATAATGATTAAGAAAACTTGTTAATCATAGGTCCAGAGACTTTCCCCATCAGAATTTCCCGGCGAATCATCAGACGGCGGTGAATTCATCCTTGGAGGGCTCACCAGCATTCCCCCAGCCATGTCCACCAGCAAATTAGGCATATCGAAAAGTGCCTCCTCATCCATAAACTCATTTCCAGACACTCCAGACATCGTACCCACAACATTACTAGTCCTATCACCAGATTCCTCTTGCTCTGCAGCCGGGTTTTCACCGGCCTCCGATCTCATCAACGTGGAGGCAGTGGCGGCAGCAGCACGTATATCAGCCGGGGACGAAGAAGCCGGCACCGGGTACGAATGAACGTGATTGGGGAAGTTAAGGACGGCATCAACTAACATAGTGATTATTTTTTCTCAAAAATCCGAATCAGTGTTATCGATTGAGCTAAATTGATTCAAAATATAAAATCAAAACCAAGCTAATTGAAATTATAAAAACAAAAATGACACAAGACCTACCAATAAAAGTTACCAAATTAAAAAAAAAAAAAAAAAAGTAGAAGAAAAACATTGGCAATTTCTATGTTAATAAAACAGAGAAAATTGCAGATAAAAAACGGTATTGAAAAATCATTGTACTACTTATAACAATATATATATATATATATAGTACATGATGATGACCCAACAACAGCCTTTTACACTATAACCCCTACCCCTATTTTTTTTATATAACCAGTGTTAAAAACTTAAAAATACACTGCATGATTATATTTTTGTTCTAACCCCACTCATCTAAAAACTACTCAGGTGAACAATCAGGCATTAAAGCTGCCCATTTTTTTTTTTTGTCAAAATTATTTTTTTGAAGTTTTTTCTTTGATCAGATTGGATAATGATTAAGAAAACTTGTTAATCATAGGTCCAGAGACTTTCCCCATCAGAATTTCCCGGCGAATCATCAGACGGCGGTGAATTCATCCTTGGAGGGCTCACCAGCATTCCCCCAGCCATGTCCACCAGCAAATTAGGCATATCGAAAAGTGCCTCCTCATCCATAAACTCATTTCCAGACACTCCAGACATCGTACCCACAACATTACTAGTCCTATCACCAGATTCCTCTTGCTCTGCAGCCGGGTTTTCACCGGCCTCCGATCTCATCAACGTGGAGGCAGTGGCGGCAGCAGCACGTATATCAGCCGGGGACGAAGAAGCCGGCACCGGGTACGAATGAACGTGATTGGGGAAGTTAAGGACGGCATCACTTCCTTTAAGAGCCAACGCCGCCACGTCATAGGCTGCAGCTGCCATTTCCGGGGTCGGGTAGGTCCCGAGCCATATACGAGTAGTCTTACGTGGCTCACGAATCTCCGACACCCATTTTCCACTCCGGCTCCGTATTCCCCGGTATATTGGGTGTTTACCGCGGGCTGGGCGATCCAGTGAGCCGCTCGAGGAAGAGGTGGAGCTCATGGTGGCCTTAGGTGGTGGTGGTGGAGGAGGAGGAGGAGGAGGAGGGGGGTCAATGTGTGATTGGCCTACTGGGCACATGTCAATTGGAGGAGGAGGGTCAGCCATATATTTATATGTATGTAATGTATGTATAGGTGTGTGTTGATTTGGTGGTTAGGTTGAGAGAGGGAAGATATTGAGAGGTTATGTTTGGTATTTAAGGGGAAGTTTAATAGATTTAATTCTAAAAGTAAGAAAGTGAAAGCGTGGGGAATTCGTGGGGTTAATCGTGGCCTTTTATTTGTGCTAATGAGGCTTTTGTGTGTATGATAGTTTGATAAGGAAAGGACACGCATTTTTTTGGGGGGACAAGCTAGCAATTAGCTGTATAAAATTTTTAAGTGGGTAGTGGTTTTTTTTAGTCCATTGTTTAATTTGTCACTACGAGTCGTACAGTCGTTTGCAGTCTAATCAATGTATACACGCACCAAATTGTTGTAAAATTATTAAAATACCCTTGTTTCTTCTTAAAATATTTATTAATACCAAAAATATTTGTTGATGTGGATGGAATGTTTTGACCTTAACCAAATTTAATTTAATTAAAACGACTCATTCATTGGCTACAATTTTTGCACCTTATCAAAAGACATTAATTCATAATGAGACTATTTGTCACATTCTCTTATATTTTTTATTTTTTTGGTTCCAAGTGTTCTGTTTAGTACGAAATTAAACTCAGAGACAGAAATCATATGATTAAAAAAGTGTTTAGATAGATCATGTGTCTTAACCTCAAATTTGCATTTTTTTATATGGATTGGTCTCAAAAAATTATTTGCATGTTGAAAGTTTTGAATCTCATATTAGTATGTAGTAAGAGTTTTGCTCTAGGTGGTGTCACTATTAAAAAAGAGAGTTTTTGAGCTATTTGCGATGCAAAACGTTTAAATACAGTAAGCTGCCGACGCAAAAAGTGATTAAATGTTTTAAAAAGTCTAATCCATGATTTCCTCATTGAAGCTTCCTAAGATGCGAACCCACTTCATCCGAGTCTCTTAAACCCAACGTACCACACTTAGCCCACTACACCACAATACTTTTTTGTGATTTTCAATGAGATATATATTATTTATAGTATATACACTCAATATTAATATGAAAGTATGTGTATAAAGAAATATATTTATTAAATATAATCAAGTAAATATATATATCTTGAGTATAAAAATATTTTTGTTGCCACGACATCAGTTGCTGACACAAAAAGGTTTAGCTTTTTGCGTCGGCACGGGTTTTGCGTCAACAAATTCAACAGATTCAAGTAATACTATAAAATATTAATTTTTTGTGTCAGCCAATAGTGCTGACACTAAAGTTTGATATTTGCGTCGTTAACTTCGTACCGTCGCAAAAAGACTAGCTTTTGTGCGGCAAAACCTGCCGACTCAAAAAAATCGACTCAAAAACCTTTTAATTAGTAGTGTGTGTTTTGTTCATATGTTGCCAACATATTTTGGATTGAGTCTATTCTCCTTATTGTGAGATTCTTTTTCCAAGACATTTTTACCCTGATATATTTTGCATATTTCAAGTTAATAATATATATATTTTTTTATCAATTTTAAAAGAAAAAGAAAAAGAAAATATTTGGGGACAAAAGGATAAGCCAGTGAGACATAATACCCTTAACATTTTAACTCTTCTTATTTATGTTTCCAACAATACTAGAGACCTACATTTTGCATCCACAAATATATCTACAATGATGTGGTAAGGGTGGTGGCTTTTATATCATTGAATGTGTAACAATCAAAAATTAATACTTGTCAGATTACATCATTGTGGGTTGAATTGTGAAAGATTTATGGGGATCTCAAATATTTTTGTTATGTTTCTTGTGTGTGTTACATTTGTTGTACATTTATTAACTATGTGTTAGATTTTTTTATTTTATTTTATAATCTTTAACTTAATTTTCATGATATTTCTAATTTATTTATTACCAGTTGAAAAAAAAAAAAAAAAAAAAAAAACAAACGCATCTTCAAGCATTTTAAAACTACAAATACCAGGTTAAGAAAAAGGTTAATTAAACCAACTTCTTATATAGACATTTAATTTGAAACTTCTGAAATTAGAATGCCAAATATTGACTTATATAACTAAGGGGGGTATTGAGCATTTAAACATCAATCTAGAATGGAAATCTCAACTGGCTCGGGTGATTGTTGTGTACTCCGCACAATAACCACTAGTGTGCAGCCATTTGAGTTTACTTAAATTTTATTTTGATAATTTGAATCGTTTACTTTTTAAGATATATCTTAATGGGGAGTTTGAGTCCACTAATGTTGACTATTTATTTTGAAAAAGTTCACTAATGTTTATTACTTAAGATTCTTCAGACATGATGTGACTAAATAATACACAGATGTTTTGTTAGTTGATTAAAGTATCTAACTAAAATTAGGGGAACTTGATTGGAAGGAATTAGGATATGGTCCAATCATTTAGTTTGCTAGTAGTTGTTTGCTGTTGTGTTCAGAGTTATTGGTAGGATGTTTTTTGGCTACGTGCTTTGTTTGTTGTGGGTAGATTGCTGCTAATGGTTTTCTTTTTATTTTTTATTTTTTTGTTTCTTGGTTGGCATCTTGTCAACCTAGGTGTTTCTTTTGGGTGAATTTGGATGCAACTCATGATTTGTTGCGTAGATGTCTCGATTAGTTGGGATGTTCAATGCAAAACTCAAATTTATTTTCTCAATTTTAATTATGTTGCTGTAATTAATTTTTTTAACTAATAAATTTTCTTGTATGATAAAGAAAAAAAAATGTCATCTCATAAATATTAAGGAAGTGCTACTATATACATTTTCAAAAGGTGCATATAATAAGCATTTAAAATTTCAACAATGGTTTATAATTTTTGCTTATTTAAATTATAATTAAATTGGTTGATTTAAAAATAAATAAATCAAATAGGTCTCATAAATATGGCAATTGTGGTATATAGAAAAGAATATCATACAGTGTCATAATCAAAGTCATTTCAATTCATAATCAAATTGAACAACACCTCATAATCAAAATCAATTTTGATCATAACTAAGAGTGCCAAACCAATAATTACAAAAGTCTAATTTTCCCGTAATTAAGAATCCATGTTCTCTCGCTCTGAATACACTTTCAATCATAAAATATAACACAAAAATCTCAATATATGATCATCTGATTAGAATTTCATAGAGACATATGTAGAAAATATACTTAAAGACAAAAAAAAAAAAAAAAAAAAAAAAAATCTGTGCATCGATCTAGTGCTAAGAATTAAATGTGAGAACAACCAGTGATATATACTATGCACCAAATGTTCAAATTTTGCCAAACACATACTCGTGGTTGGATATTGTTCTTGGCCTCCGTTTTTTGAAGTTTTCTTAGTCATGAAAAGGATGCAATATTTTCCAAACCAACCCAAAATGTTGTTTCCACAAATATATTTGTTAAAGTTCCAGTCAAAACGAGTATGTTTTTTGTTTAAATGTTCAAATTTTGCCAAACACATACTCGTGGTTGGATATTGTTCTTGGCCTCCTTTTTTGAAGTTTCCTTAGTCATGACAAGGATGCAATATTTTCCAAACCAACCCAAAATGTTGTTTCCACAAATATATTTGTTAAAGTTCCAGTCAAAACGAGTATGTTTTTTGTTTTGGGGGGGGGGGTTGGAGCCAATAATCTCAGGGATGATATTAAGCCAACACAATAAGGTGCTACATAATTAATTAACAGTAATGATAGAGACCCTACAAAATATAATCCCTACAACCTTTAAAATAATCTGAATCATTCATATCATTGTCAGACACAATTCTTAAAAAAAATTCAAACACATCAATAATCAATATATCAGTAAAGGTCATAGAAGGTCCTAAGAATTTTCTATTAACTAATTTTTTTTAATGATATAGAAATTAGACCCCACCATGGAACTTGTTGATGTCACAAATGTATGCGGTTTGGTATGTTAATTGAGTCATTTCCCTGTCATGGATTCCTTAATCGACATGTGTCCCTTTAGCTTTTTTATTTGTGCCCTAAAAAATAACGATTTGGATTGATTGGCCATGGACCCTGAGGGAAGCCATACCCAACAGGGTATCAAAGATAACTTATCTTCAGTCTATCTAGTACGGCTCATGAGCCCAACATGGGTCCAACTTTGTTATTTTGATTGGTTGATATTTTAGATCCCTTTGTAGATAATTCACAAAAAAATTAAATTAATTTTAACTATATAATTTAATCATATTTATCTTTAAAAAAGTGAACAATAAATTTGAATTTAAAAATAATCCATCCATTATGTATATATAAACATAAACACATATAATTCAATTAAAATTATCATACATATTTATTCAAGCTACGTTTTTATTCATGCATATGTTTGAATATTTTTTTAAAAAATATAATTATATATACACATAAATAATTTAACTAAAATTAAAGAAATATATATATATATATATATTAATCACCTAAATAAAAAAATAAGTCAATTGCTAGTATTTACATACTAGGAAGACTTATTAGAGTCAAAATAAACAAGAGACCCTTTTGATAGAGTCGGTATTAAAAAGGTAAGTATAAAGATTTAGATGGTAGAGATTGAAAATATTAATATTAGTTGTCAGATTTATCACTTTAGATATTCCCTATATCAAGAGAGATTCAACCCTATTGCAATTTATATCCAATTATTATCCATTCTTAGTTTATCCACTTGTAAAAACTCTCTTTCTTTACGTTTTTCAAGCAATGGGTAGTTGCCTTTTTTTTTTTTTTGTCTCGTGGATAATTATATCCAAAAACATTTTAAAAGATAATTACTTAAAAAGAGAAATTATTATATCTAAAGTTACATGTTTATTTATTTATTTTTATTTTATTTTTTAGATTGGGTCTAAAGCTACAAGTTCGCTGAAGTTTGTTGCAAATATGATCCAAGGATATCGGTACTTGTGTTGATATTGTTATATACTAGCATCTTCTACTCATGCAAATACATGTGTAATATAAATATTTGTATAATATATAAATAAATAAAATAAAATTTTATTTGTGTAATTTGAAACTAAAGTAAAAAATTAAAAATAAAATAATAGTAATAATAATAATTATTTTGTCAATTAATTATCCATTTGTTATGAGAATATGAGTGAATTTTAAAAAAATGATGAAGGGTAATTTAGGGAAACAAACTTAAACTTGGCATGCCAAAAAGTGCAACTTCAAAACACCAATAAGGTGTTGGTTTTATATAGTGTGTATATATATATATATATATTAGTTCGGATAAATATTTGGTATAAGAATTAAGGCTGACTAGAAAAATCGAAAAAATCACAATTCAATTCCGTTCAAACCAAATCGGTAGGTTCAATTTGGTTTTTCTAATATGTGGTTTGGTTTTGGTTCATAAATTAGGTGATCCGGTCCGGCAGTTTGGCTTATAATTTGAGATCCACCATTCTGGATTAAAAATAAATCAAATCGTTTAATTAAAAACCTATGCATTTTAATTACCATGAAATTACAACCTTACATACATATATATATATATATATGTGTGTGTGTATCGATTTATTGACGTAAGTTTGTGATTGAGTTATAAAAAATGAACCGTTGAGAGTGAAAAGAATAAAAACTCTATTATAATAACAAACTATTTACAATTTTCAATCTCTCTTACAGTATTTGAAGTTGTAGTTTAAACCAAATTCTGTGTTTAAATAGTTTGGTTTCATAATTTGAATAAATTGATTTGGTTTTAAATTTTATGAAACCATATGTATTGCTTTAGTTCTGATTTTATCCAACCAAACCAACGAGACCACGTCACTCATAATAAAAATATAACCATATCACTTCTTGAAAGAAAAAAAATTACATTGCAGTAACACATGAGTGGATTAGTGAAAAAAAAAAATATATGTCCACCTAATTTTGTTTGTGACCTTTTATTGAAAAAATAATATCGCCATCACATTAATATCTCAAAAAAAATTATTGAAAAAGTAGTTAAACATAATTATCATGTTTTTACCTCAATAAAACCCATAAAATAGTATTAATAGTGCACTTTAATAGCCCCTAAAAAAAAAAATCATTGAAAATGCAGTTAAAGGTAAATTTTGTATTTTCAATTAAAAAAAAAAAATCTTTCGTATAATGATGATAAGATAAAATCACCAGGAGTTTGTATCCTAACAAACAGAAGTCAGATAAGGATAAACATAATAATAAAATGAAAAGAAAAGGATAGAATCCATAGATGAGAGATAATAGGAGCTGATATAGTTTTGGTGTATATATATATACATGATCAGTTGATTCATTACTCATTTGTTTTCTCTGACCTAGTTTTCTTCCATATCTCTAATCTAATACTATATTTCTCAAACCTTGTTTTTGTAAGTGAGAGCAAGAAGTTGAGAATGGCTGTTGGCGTAGGGATGGGTCCGGCCGGCGGGAAGGCATACCCGGGAAAGCTCACTTTTAAAGTCATGGTGACTTGCATTGTTGCGGCTATGGGTGGTTTGATTTTCGGATATGATATTGGCATATCAGGTTAACAAATCTACCCACTTTACCTATTTTTATACTCACTAATAGTTGGTAAAAATACAATTTTTTATTTTTATTTATTTTTTTTTTTTTTATGGGTGGTTATATTTTGATTTTGATTTATGTGAATTTTACGCATTATAGAAATAGGAAAAAAAAACAATTTATTTTATTTTATTTTTTATGGGTTGTTATATTTTGATTTTCCACTATTCTGGATTAAAAATAAATCAAATCGTTTAATTAAAAACCTATGCATTTTAATTACCATGAAATTACAACCTTACATATATATATATATATATATATGTGTGTGTATTGATTTATTGACGTAAGTTTGTGATTGAGTTACACAAAATGAACCGTTGAGAGTGAAAAGAATAAAAACTCTATTATAATAACAAACTATTTACAATTTTCAATCTTAGTTTAAACCAAATTCCGTGTTTAAATAGTTTGGTTTCATAATTTGAATGAATTGATTTGGTTTTAAATTTTATGAAACCATATGTGTTGCTTTAGTTTTGATTTTATCCTAAACTGAACCAAACCAACGAGACAACGTCACTCATAATAAAAATATAATCATATCACTTCTTGAAAGAAAAAATATTACATTGCAGTAATACATGAGTGGATTAGTGAAAAAAAATATATATATGTCCACCTAATTTTGTTTGTGACCTTTTATTGAAAAAATAATATCGCCATCACATTAATATCTCAAAAAAAATTATTGAAAAAGTGGTTAAACATAATTATCATGTTTTTACCTCAATAAAACCCATAAAATAGTATTAATAGTGCACTTTAATAGCCCCTAAAAAAAAAAAATCATTGAAAATGCAGTTAAAGGTAAATTTTATATTTTCAATTAAAAAAAAAAATCTTTCGTATAATGATGATAAGATAAAATCATCAGGAGTTTGTATCCTAACAAACAGAAGTCAGATAAGGATAAACATAATAATAAAATGAAAAGAAAAGGATAGAATCCACAGATGAGAGATAATAGGAGCTGATATAGTTTTGGTGTATATATATACATGATCAGTTGATTCATTACTCATTTGTTTTCTCTGACCTAGTTTTCTTCCATATCTCTAATCTAATACTATATTTCTCAAACCTTGTTTTTGTAAGTGAGAGCAAGAAGTTGAGAATGGCTGTTGGCGTAGGGATGGGTCCGGCCGGCGGGAAGGCATACCCGGGAAAGCTCACTTTTAAAGTCATGGTGACTTGCATTGTTGCGGCTATGGGTGGTTTGATTTTCGGATATGATATTGGCATATCAGGTTAACAAATCTACCCACTTTACCTATTTTTATACTCACTAATAGTTGGTAACAATACAAATTTTTTTATTTTTTATTTTTTATTTTATGGGTGGTTATATTTTGATTTTGATTTATGTGAATTTTACGCATTATAGAAATAGGAAAAAAAAACAATTTATTTTATTTTATTTTTTATGGGTTGTTATATTTTGATTTTGATTTATGTGAATTTTACACATTAGCATTCATAGAAATAGGAAAAAAATGGCAAAAATTTTTTGGTAACAATTTAGTTAATTTTGTACTTTTATTGCATCACACAAAAATAATGATTGAATGGGGATAAATTTTTTAATTAAATCATATATTTAATTTATATCAATAATGCAATTTATTTATCAAATTATTTTATAATTTCATAAAATATAATTTTGTTTTCTCCAATATCTCATTTTATTATCTAAATTTTTTATAAAAATTAGAATAATGTTTTAGAGCACTAAATTGGGAGCTCTAGGCACAGTGGCCCCCACCAAAGTGATGTGATGTTTTGGCTTGAGTTTGTTTTTTTTTTTTTTTAAGCTCATTAGAGCTATTAGTGATCCAAAAATTAGTGGGATGAATCACCACTCTAAAAATTAATATAATCTTAATTTAATTTGACAAAGTTGTATGTTTAATCACAGCCATGAAGGATATGTAGTTTATAAAGCAAAATTTTCTTTTAAAATTCTAAGAATTCATGGGAAAGATATGAAAGTTATTATGCAATGGTACCCAAGTCTATCCTCATGTGGAAAGAATGGTGGCAATCATTCACACATAGAGTAAACGAATTTATTCTATTTTTTCACATGATTAGTTACTTTAGCTTTCACCACGTGCGGGAATTTTTTTTTATTTTTCATGTCAAATTATCTTTGTTCCATACACTCGGTCTCTCTAACTTTTATTATGGGATTTAAAAAGAATTTGGAAGAATTTGAAAAGTTAGTGAGAGAGGTATAATGAGAAATTTGTGATTTTTTTGTTTACATTTGGTTTAGTTTTTAAATTAACATGTGAATCAAAAAACTAAAAAAAAAACATGTTTGATTTATTAATTTTCAATTTTTTTTTCCTCTCTCTCTCTCTTATATATATTAATAAATCAATCAATTATTTCTTCTCTCTCATCTCTCCTCTCTTATTTTCTTGCATTCTATACATCAATTAATCAAATTTTCTCTTATACCCATTTATTCAATTTCCCAAAAAAAAAAAATACAAATTATTCCAAAATTATTTTCAAAATTCATAATCAAATAATTCTCAATTTTTAAAATTCTTTTCAATAACTTATCTTTCAAAATACAACTCAAAACTCTTTTCAAAAACTTAACCAAACAGAGCCTAAGTTTTAATTTTTCATATATATATTTATTTTTAGTGAATTTTTTAATTTTTTAATATAATATTTGTGAAAAAATATAATAATTCAGTATATTTTCGTATTATTGTATATTTATTAACTTCTTAAGAAAAATAATGACATCTACATAATTACATAAAATTGAACCAAAATATGATCATTGAAATTTTCAAAATTATAATTTTTTGAAATCAAATTTAGCTTCTTTTTTTTTTTCTTTTTTTCTTTTTTTTGTAGGTCCTATTAACAATGGTTTTTTTTTTACCCCCATATAGGCAATTGGTTTTTTTTACCCCCCTATTAACAATGGTTGATTGAATAAGGTGTTGAACATGGTGTGGTGTGGTGTAGGTGGAGTGACATCTATGGCACCATTCTTGAAGAAGTTCTTCCCGACTGTCTATAAGAGGGAAGTACTCGATGTTTCGACGAATCAATACTGCAAATTTAACAGCCCAACATTGACGATGTTTACATCGTCACTGTATTTGGCCGCCTTAGTAGCTTCCTTTGTAGCTTCAACGGTGACTCGCAAGTTGGGAAGGAAGTTGTCCATGCTTACCGGTGGAAGTCTCTTTTGTGCTGGTGCCATTGTAAATGGCTTTGCTCAAAATGTGCCAATGCTTATTGTTGGCCGTATGCTTCTTGGTTGCGGTATTGGATTTGCCAATCAGGTATAAGCTATTTGACTTCTCTTAATTGATAAACCCTAAATCCTAGTTTAACTAATGATGAGTTAATTCATCTAATGATTTTTTGTTTTTGTTTGTGTGTGTGTGTGTGTGCGTGTGCGCAGTCTGTGCCACTTTATCTCTCAGAGATGGCTCCATATAAACATCGTGGTCGACTCAACATTGGTTTCCAAATGTCCATAACAATTGGTAACCTATCTGCTAACGTCCTAAACTACGTGTTTGCGATGATCAAGGGTGGTTGGGGATGGCGTTTGAGCTTGGGAGGAGCGGTTGTTCCCGCCCTAATATTCATCATTGGCTCTGTCACCCTCCCCGACACACCAAACTCACTGATCGAGCGTGGCAAACACGAAGAAGCTAAAAGAAGACTTCAAATAATCCGTGGCGTTGCCAATGTTGATGAAGAGTTGGATGATTTGGTCATAGCCAGTGATAATTCAAAGAAAGTAGAACACCCATGGCTTAACCTCTTAAAGAGAAAGTACAGACCCCATTTGATGTTTGCCCTTTTCATTCCTTTCTTTCAGCAACTCTCAGGCATGAACGTTATCATGTTTTATGCTCCGGTTTTATTCAAAACAATCGGTTTTGGAGATACTGCTTCTCTTATGTCCGCTGTGATCACCGGTCTTGTGAATTGTTTGGCTACCATTGTTTCAATTGTTTGTGTGGATAAGTTGGGAAGAAGAATATTATTCTTTTGGGGTGGAACTCAGATGTTTATTTCTCAGGTAAATTTATATCTTGTTTTGTTTATATGAACTATTTTTAAAATTATTTATTGTTGTTCAATCGTTTCCTATTATTCTTTAGATTCTCCAAAATATGTTTAGATTCTTCGAACTTGTGCAATTCACCCCAAATATGTTTATATGTTAGATTCTTTTGGGGTGGAACTTGTGCAATTCACCCAAAATATGTTTAGATTCTCCTAAACGTTTTTCATTATATTCTTTTGTTTCTTCAAACTTGCAATTGTTTTTTATTCTTTTTAGGTCCATTCTACTCTTAATTTTTCTCACATTTTCCATTGAATTCACAAGATTTTCATCCGCGCAATGCACTTCATTAGGGTGCAACTTAAGAGCATTATTCAAGAAATTCCCCCCCACCCCCCCTGTTTCTTGCATTTCCCATCACTATCTTACCATTCAAACGATATTCTTATAAAATTTGTTGGTGAGACCCATTTTTAGAAAATCCAATTTATCCTTCTATATATTATGTATTTAATTTCTATATGTTTTATTGTTACTTATTCATTTTTTTTTTCCCTGCACAAATGCCTAGGTTGTTATAGCAGTTGCAATTGGTTTAAAATTCGGAATACAAGGGAACCCAACCGAATTGCCCAGGTGGTATGCAGGTGGTGTGGTGGCATTCATTTGTCTATTCGTGGCGGGTTTTGCATGGTCATGGGGTCCTCTCGGATGGTTGGTGCCTAGTGAAATCTTCCCCCTTGAAATCCGATCTGCAGCTCAGAGTATCAATGTGTCGACAAACATGCTTTTCACATTTTTCATAGCTCAGATCTTCTTACCAATGCTGTGCAGCTTCAAGTTTGGTTTGTTCATATTTTTCGGTTTTTTTGTGGCGGTGATGACTGTTTTTATATACTTGTTTTTGCCTGAGACAAAGAATATCCCAATTGAAGAGATGAATCAAGTGTGGGCTAAGCATTGGTATTGGAAAAGATTTGTTTCTGATACTACTGATCAAAGTTATGGTAGAGGAGGCATTGAGATGGGCAAGGGAGACCAGTCTTGAAGTGAGTGTGAATATAATTGCTTGATTACGGTGTGCAATGAACAAAGAATTAATGGGGCATGAAGCTGTCCAATAATTTTGCGGGATGTTGACAATCATTTAGATTGATTTTGGGTTTTTTAATATTGGTAGTTGTTCATACACTAAGTTGTTTCAAGTGTCTAGAACCTTATGTTTTGTTTTTTTACTTTCCCGTCTTAGTTATAAACAATTGTTTTTTGATTTTCCTACTGAGATTTCAATAGTTTGCTAAATTTTTTGAGTTGTAGATTCACTTGATGGGTTTTTCCTAAACAAAATAATCTGCAAGTAAAATTTTCATACGTAAAATTTTAAATAAATTGATGTAGTAGTGACATTCTTGAACAGAGCTATTGTACACACGGTGTTATATGGAATCGCAAATAAATTTGATGATAAATAATACTTTTCATTATTAAAATTACAAACTACAATGATAGATTTTTGTGTAAAATGCATCATTAGCCCCTATAGTTTTAATTTGAACAATTTAAACTCTACATTGCAAAATTATAAGAACCAAAATAGAATTCAAAATAAACTATATAGACTACCGGTGTATTGAAAAAAAAAAAATTGGTGATTCCTATAATTTCTTTTGAATTTTGAATTTTCAGCCCCCCCTCCCATTTTTGCGTATGTTATTTTTCTGTTTAAAATTCTAACAATAAGTGATAGAGAGAGCACATTACAATAAAATTGCTCAAATTAAATTTATGAGGACTAAAGTGAAACTACACTTAAAATAGAGGGACCAGTAAGTGTAATTTATTCTAAATTTTTAGTTTGCACTTTGAAATGAAATGCATGGCTCTGTATATAAATTTTGTACAGAAAAATTTCATTGCACATTACCTTATTTATCTTTATGGCCTTCTGGAATTCGAGGCCTAGTCTCATGAAAAAGCTGTATGGGCATGAAAATATTTTGCATTAATTGGTAAACACAAAATAGTTGTTTTATTTGTAATGAATTTTTATTTATTTATTTATTTATTTATTTTTAGTGAATTACATGTGAGAATGAAAATTCTAATAAAATTATCATTTTATTTCACTTTCATTCTAATTTGAGAGAGCCAAATATTACCTTATAGAATAGTAGTTCAGTAAATAAGGAACAACCAATTGGTTGTTGGCCGAGTGGTGATTGGAGCTCGGCTTGGAAGGACGGACTGCGGTTCGATTCCCCGCAACGCCAATTGGGAGGGGACTTGAGCCTATTAATCCAGAACTGCTCCCCGAATCCGGATTAGTCGGCCAGTGGGTCGGATACCGGGTGGTTGAACCAAAAAAAGTAAATAAGGAACAACGAAATAACTGTACAACAACAAAAATATATTAGATCATTTGAAAATTATATTTGAATTTGTCTCCTGTGTTTTCCCTATATTGCACTTGCCACTAACACTTGTAGCTATAAAGATTTTACATAACCCAGCAATACTACGTCTATAGAAAATTTACACAAAAAAGAAAAAGCATAATTCCTGCAACATATTTTATAGATAAATTTGGTTCTTGTGTCAGCCTAATTGATTATAATTGTTAATATTTTTTAGGACAAATTATACTATCAGTCATTATATTTTATTCATTGTATCATTTTAGCTACTATACTTTTAATTGACTTGATTTTGACCATTAATTTTAGATTTTGTGTCTATTTGGTCGAATTGATAATATCGTTAGTGCTTTTTAATAAAAAATTATCACTAAATTGGTTGATGTTAACTTATTGAGTTTGGTGAGTTTATAATTTTGCTCTTAAAAATATAACACATGACACTTATATAACTATTTTTCATAAAGAAATGCTAAGAGTTGTAACCAATTGAACCAACTTGAGACAAAGTCATAAATTCAAGGTTAAAATCGAACTAATTGAAATTACAAGGATAAATGACACAAGGACCAAAGTACAGAGATTACCGTCGTAATTTTTTTCTATTTCTTAATGAAAAATATTCACAAAAGTGGCATATGTCATGATTTTAGAGATTAAATTATAAATTCAGTGATTATTTTTTTGTTAAAAATACTAAATGGTGTTATTAATTGAACTAAATTGACACAAAATCTAAAATTAAGGGTAAAAAATTGAGTTAATTGAAAGTATAGGAATCAAAATGAAATTGGATTAAATTGATACAAAATCTAGGATTAAGAGTCAAAAATTGAGATAAAGTCATAAATTCAAGGTTAAAATCGAGCCAATCGAAATTACAAGAACAAATGACACAAGAACCAAAGTAGAGAGATTACCGTTGTAATTTTTTCTATTTTTTAATGAAAAATATTCACATAAGTGGCATATGTCATGATTTTAGAGATTAAATTATAAATTCAGTGATTATTTTTTGTCAAAAATACTAATCAGCTTGCTTGTTTTCATTTTTCAAAAATATTTTTCAAAAAATTCTACTTTCTTATTTTCCGTATTTTTTTGTTTTTACTGAATTTTTTTAATATTTTAAACAATTTTTTTTTTAACTTTTTAGACACACATAACATAAATATACCTAAAAAGTAAAAAAATTGTAAAAAAAATCTTTTAAAAATTCACTAAATGTAAATACCAAAAATACAAAAAAAAAAAAAAAAAAAGAATTCAATACATTTTTTATATTTTTATGTATTTATTAATTTTTTAAAATATTTTTTCACATTTTTTTTATTTTTTTAGATACATCTAAGTAAGGTGCATCTAAAAAAGTAAAAAAAAAATGTTTAAAATTTTAAAAATATTCACTAAAAACAAAAAAACACAAAAACCAAAAAACTCAGTTTTCAAAAAAGTTAATTCAGAAAACTCAAACCAAACACACTGAATGGTGTAATTGATTGAACTAAATTGACACAAAATTTAAAATTAAGGGTAAAAAATTGAACTAATTAAAAGTGTAGGAATCAAAATGAAATTAGATTGAATTGATACAAAATCTAAGATTAAGGGTAAAAAATAAGCCAAATGTAAGACCTAAAATGACACAACAGACAAAATATCAGGATTACTGCCTCCCAAAAAATTAAAATAAAATAATGTGAGGGTTATATCATTTTAGGTAAGGTGTGACCCTCAATAATGTTATTGTAACATAATTAAGATTAGATAACAAAAATTAGTTACAAAATAGGACACAATAATATCTGTGCGCTCTACACAATATATGAGATTCGACATGGGTAAGCCCATTAAGGATATGACCCACCACTTAAGGCCCAATCCATGACTCAAATATTAAAGCTTAACATTCTTGGAACTCAACGCTATACCAAGCGCCAATGACATCTAAATACCTGACAAGTGCAAAACCAGCCACATCAGCAAACAAAGATCCTGCGAAGTTATTACACCACACATCAGCCATTAATGAGCTCCCTTGCAGCATTTATTATGATAACCCTTCACGTTGGAACAGAACAGCCATACCATGAACAAGGCAAGCTAGAGTATAGACTTTCGGCCAACATGACGGCTCAGAGTGGACAAGAAAATGATGAGCAAATGATATAAGCAGGTCTCTGAGACGAGAAAAATGTTAAGTTCTCTATCACCATTCTATCTCTACATTCCATCATCCTCTCCCTCTTCTAACTTGATCGTCGGAGGGTTCGCTAGGAGACTCCCCGTTCCCCGTTGAACTCTTGTGCAAGTCTCTCTGCGAGCTTGATGCTCAGGTAACGGTTTGAGAAACGTGGTTCAGTCCGACCCGTTTCATCTGGAGCACCTTAGTATCATCAGTTGGTGCTGTCTGTGGGAATCCTTTTGCTCTGTGTGGCAATTGTGCTCATTGTCGCTGGAGACCCATTCCCGATAATCCCTACCTGCCACCCACCCAGGTGGATGGTCACAACTAGATCCATGGCCTCTCAACACAACGTTGCCGACCCCCAAACTGACCCTCCTAACCCAAACAACCCACCGCCGTATTTCACAGAACTCACCAACAGCATTAACCGCTTAGCCGAGCAAAACCAAGCCCTGATCAATGCTTTGCTTCAAAGAGACCTCCTCATATCTCCACCACCACCTCAAGATATACCACCCAACCGAGAACGAGCCCCGAGCCACCCCATCCAACAATCCCAACCATCAAACTTGGAGGGCTTGCGACCCCCTCCTCTAGAAATGAACCCGCCACCTCGGGCCCCATACCCATCGTTCCAAGCACCTACCCGCGAGAGAGAGGCTAATAGTGTCCAGCCTCCATTGCATTCTGGCGGTGACAACATTTCCCTTTGGGATGTCGAACTTCGAACCATGAAACTCCAGCTTCAAGGAGTCATGCAAAACATACAGAATAAACCATCCACCATAACCAACTCACCGTTTGTTGCCTCCATTAGGGTCAAACCCCTACCTCCTAAGTTCAAAATGCCCTCGATCGACTCTTTCGACGATGCAATGAACCCAGTCGACCACTTGGAGACTTATAGGACCCTCATGGTCATCCATGCATTCCCCTGATGAGATCATGTGCCGGGCTTTCCCCGTAACACTTAAAGGGTCGACCCGACTCTGGTTTTGTCAGCTGCCGACAGACTCTGTCTCTACTTTTCAGTACCTAAGTGACTCCTTTCTCAGTCACTTCATTGGTGCCTAGCGCCAGTGGCATCCGGCAACCCAACTCCTCAACATCCGTCAGACAGAGGAGGAGTTCTTGCCCAGCTTCGTCACCCGCATCAACACCGAAGCCTTGCAGGTGGCGGAAAACGATGATAAGGTCATTCTCACGGCGTTCATGGCCGGTCTACGATCATCCGATTTCCTTTTCTCCCTCTCCAAAAACCCTCCAACCTCCATGAAAACTCTCCTCTCCAAAGCCCAAAAATACATGAACGCCGAAGATTCCCTAACTGCCCGACAAGACTCCACAACCAAAAACCTGACCCCCAGAAAGAAGAGAAAGGACCTTGAAACCAAAAGCACCTAGTATACACAACAAGCACCTCAGTATACCAATCGACCTGGTCGAGCCGACCAGTCGGCACCTATCCGACCGCTCAGCCGGTTCGAGCGGTACACACCCCTCAATTCTCTCATGGAACAAGTCTTGAACCAGATCCAACGAGATTATCCCTTGAAATGGCCTCAACCGTCGCGATCTCCTTCCAACAGTCGAAACCAGTCCAAATACTGCCGTTTCCATCAAGACTACGGTCACAATACCGAGGAGTGTGTTAACCTTACAGACCAGGTTGAGGGCTTGATACGCCAAGGGCATCTCAGTCAGTTCACGGCAACCCGCCCTCAGTAACGGCCAAGGACCGAACCTACCAGAAACAATCACCGGTGCACCCCTCCTCAACAACCCGCACAACTTAACCAAGGCCATAATCGGCCCCCACAGC